TGGACTATCAGCCTGGCTGCTGAGGGTGCACAGCTGGCATTCGGGGCACTTCTCCTGCTCTTGGGTCCAAATGGAAAGCTCCCCTCCAAGGTGCTTTTGCCCAGCCAGAAGCCCCCTTCCAGGGAGGCAGGGGGTTCCTTCCTCTCTACCCTTCAAGCAAAGAACAGCTGGAAGATGAATCTTCCCCTGATGGCAGCAGGGCAAAAAGTGTTAAAAATAAGGACTGGGTCTTCCAAGATGGGGAGGGGGTACGCTGCAGGGGGCTGCGCCCTTCCATCCTGTTTCCAGCTGCAAAGCACTACAGCAAAGACACCAGCCTCCAATGGTGGGGAGAACGCAAGGACGCTTCACACTCCAGAGAGAAGATGGGCCACATCTGGGCACAGCCCCAGCAAAGCCTTTCTCCGTTTAAATGAGAGGCAGGTGCTGGTGGGGCTGCTAAGCCACGAGAGCTGCCATGGTTCTGGCCATGTGCCTGACTCTCGGCTGATAAGCCCCCGACAAGCTGCAGCTGTTCTAGACCATGTTTAATGCCCTGTCATGGAGCCCAAGCCCAGGAGTGATGGAAGGGGCAACCGAGGGGCTTGGGAAGACCCCCTGCTGCTCTGGTCGAGCATGCTCAAGCGGCACTTGGGGCAGCCAGCAAAGGCGGGCATGAGAGCTGTTGCCACCTCAGTGCTGTTTTTTCTCCCTTGAATTTTCCTGGAGGGGGGAGTTTAACACCCAGCTCTCCAGCGGCTTCCATAATCCCCTCCCAAGGGGCTGCAGCTGTATGAGTGTATTGCAGCGGGGCTGCCTCCTGTTGGTGTGAGTCAGGGTGTCATACAGACCAACCTCCACCCCCCGGACTGAGGACTGGCAACATGCAGGGGCAGGCAGCTGCTGCGCTGAGTCCCCAAAGCTGTTTTAGAAGGCATCCACAATGAGTGAAGGACTTCTCTTCTCCAGGACCCTCAAGCAAGGACCAACTCCTGCCCTCCTGCTTACTATGGCTGGAAACATTGCTATCTTGGGCTGTTCCTGGAAAAAAATAGAAATCGGGATGGTCAGCATGTTGGGAAATCTGCATGGCAATGGGGGTGTTCTTGATCTCTCTTCCACTTCCATTTTCTGCCCATCACACACTTATAGACAATCAGGTGGCACAGTGATCTAAGGCCTGGGTTGGGACTTCAGGAGATCCGGGTTCTAGTACCCACTCAGCCATGAAGTGTCCTGAATGACTTTGGGCCAGGCACTCGCTTTCAGCCTGACCCACCTTGCAGGGTTGTTGTTGGGATAAAATGCAGCTTGTGGCCTGGCTTGGCTCCCTCACAAGAAAAAGGGTCAGATATCAATATTATACAATATTGTATTAATAGAAACATAAAAAACATAGAAACAGAGTGAGTCAGAAGGGACCTCTCAGGCCATCTAGTCTGACCCCTGGCTACAGCTGGTTCTGCTCATGACATGCCTACCATGTGCATGATCAGCCTATTCTGCTGCTGGCACATATCCCATCAGCCACCATCACTGAAATTCAATTGCATGCAGGATGGCTGGAGCAGCTCCTGCAGCAGCTGCCACTCTTTCCAGGGGACTCTCTGGTAGCTGCTTAGTCGGACCATGGAAACCATGATGCCAGCTTTGGATAATGGGAGGAACCATGGTGAAGGATGGAAACCGAGGAACAGGTTGTCGCTTCTTTCTTTGGATTCTATTTATTTTATTTATTTATTTAGACAACTTATATGCCGCCCCATTGCATGAGCCTCAGGATGACTCTAGAAGCCAGGCGTACCACATGGAAATTCCACAACAGAGTTTGGATGCCATGACAGACCATCCTGCACAAGAAACCGCTGTGGCTTCTGGTGTTGTGCGACCCACCCAGTGTACACATTCAGCAGTCACAATCCTACTACTTAATCATGTCAAAGATTGTGAATTCATCTGCTCCATATCTCTGTAAGTGCTGCCCAGTCTTTTGGTGAAATGCATACTGATAATATTCTCCCATAGACTGGAAGTGTTTACTGTTAGCTGGCAAGCAAGCAAGGCAAAGGAGAGCATTTCCATGGATGCAAAAAGAGGTGATAAGAGGGATTAGACGGAAGAGGAATGAATAGCCCCTCCCCTTAAAACAGTAGCAAGCAAAGCTATGTAGGCTATTTGGGTTTTCTGTTCTGTTCACTTGACAGATGTTTCTCTAGCCACTGCCTTACAGACTCAAAGGAAGGAGGTCCTGCAAATTTTCTGGGAAACTCTTGTGAGCACAAAGGCTTCCCCTGTGTCCTCAAACCATGTGCTTTACTCCGATGGAGCTGCTGGTGCCTCCAGTCCTTCCCTCTGGAGCAACCTGGGAGGTAACTCAGGTCAGCATCAGAAGGAGCGGCTTTGGGTGGCAAGTGGGGGTGGTTTGTCTTGCCTTAGGATTTCTGGATTGATTCTCTTCGCAACAAATAATAGAAATAGAAGTAGAGTGTTTCTCGCCACCTGTGCTCCACCATTGGCCTGGCTGGCTTCAGGGGAGCTGCAGCCCTGAAGTAGATGAGCATTGCTCCACTTTCACACAACCTGCCACTCTTGAGTGGGGGCTGCCCAGAACACACAGTGCCTGCGGGGCTGCTTTGTGGTGCGAAAATCCCACTGAGTGGCCCCACAACTCCATCGGCTCCACATCGCCAATACTGCAGGTGCTCCCGAAGGCGCTGACAGAAGGTGGGACAGGACAGAGCAGCAAATGGGCTCTGAAGTCGTCCCCCGACTGACTTCCCCACCCAAAAAGGGGGGCAAACGTGGCAAGAAGGCTCACTTACTGTGCAAACAGATGCCCCTGATTGCAGCTGCCAGGAGGAGGATGACAAGGACGAGCATCCCCACAATGCCCCTGACAAGGTGCCCTGGGCTGGGTGATGACACTGAATTGAGACAATAGTGCACCCATTGAGGGGAAGCAAAAAAACAGCATGGAGCTGTCCCATAATTATTATTATTGCATTACATTTCTACACCACTCATCCTGACTTCAGCCAGGCCGAACCTACTTAGCTTCCAAGATAAGGCAGGATCAGGCACTGCGGGCTATTTAGAAACTGTTGGGGGGAGGCCTGCAATGGCTGAAGGACTGGGGAGTCAAGCGAGGAGACACTGAAGATGGTGGAGAGGGATCTCCATGAAACAGCCCTGCCCCCTCATTCCCCCAGCAGGTTTTGCAAAGTCCTGCTGGGGCTGTGGTGGAATGAGGGGAATTTTTTTTAATATTTAGCCTGTATGCTCTGGCCGTTTTTAATTGTTTTCACAGATGTTTAGTTTATTATGTTTTAATTGGTTTTATAGTGCCCTGATCACTGCAGATGGGGACTGCAGCCAAGAAATTAAAAGACGCTTGCTCCTGGGGAGGAAAGTTATGACAAATCTAGATAGCATACTAAAAAGCAGAGACATCACCCTGCCGACAAAAGTGCGTATAGTCAAGGCTATGGTTTTCCCAGTTGCAATGTATGGCTGTGAAAGTTGGACCATACAGAAGGCTGAGTGCTGAAGATTTGAGGCCTTTGAATTGTGGTGCTGGTGGAGACTCCTGTGAGTCCCTTGGACAGCAAGGCGATCAAACCTGTCAGTCCTAGAAGAGATCAACCCTGACTGCTCTTTAGAAGGCAAGATACTGAAGATGAAACTCCAATACTTTGGCCACCTAATGAGAAGGAAAGACTCACTGGAGAAGAGCCTAAAGCTGGGAACAATAGATGGCAAAAGAAGAAGGGGACAGCAGAGGATGAGGTGGCTAGATGGAGTCACTGAAGCAGTCAGTGTGAGCTTAGGTGGACTCCGGGGGCTGGTGAAGGACGGGAAGGCCTGGAGGAATGTTGTCCATGGGGTCTCGATGGGTCGGACACAACTTCACGACTAACAACATAGTGCCCCGAATACCGCAAGTGCTGGCAAAAAGTCTCACAGCTCCGCAGATGTGCAAGCCGACGGAGGGGGGGCAGCCAGGTTTTGGCTCTGATATGACTGCAGCTCACATCCAGCAAAGCAGGAGTGCCCAGCCAGAAAGGGCCATGTCCCTCTTATTGTCTGCACAATCCAACTAATTTGCACTCAAGAGCACACACAGGGGGGCTGCGCTGTGGCCTGTGAGGCAGCCAGGTTCTTGTTTCCACACCCCCTCCCCACACACCTTGTGCAAAAAGAGCAATCTCCCCCCTCCACTCTGGAAGGAAGACCCCCCCCCCCCACAAACACACCCACTACCAGTCCAGACTCTCACCTCCGGGCTCCTCCCAGGCAAAGTTCACAGATCCTCCAAGCTGTCATGCCCCACACGGCACCGGAAGCGCTCCCGGTCCCTGGGGTCAATCTTGACACTGGCCCAAGTGAAGTAGGTCCCGTCTGAGTTGGGGGTCATGAGGCCACGGAAGGTGTCCTGGGTCCAGACCTCCTCATCCCTTGTCCAGGCGATCTCCATCTCCTTGGGGTAGAAGCCGTGGGCCCGGCAGAGCAGGGTCTCCATGCCATCCTGGTCTGCTCGGCTTGTCACCTTCAGCGTGGGCTGCTCTGAAAAGGAAAAAGGCAGCCTCAGAGTTAACACAGAACCCTCCCAGCGCCGGGCAGGATGGATGCACTATAGCGAGCAGGAAAATACTCCTGGGGGAGCTCACCCTGTTAGACAGACTCGGACCCCTCCTGCAGAACCCCAAGGAGCAAAACCTTGAAGCCTCAAAGGGATGTCTCAGCCTCTGCTGTCATCCTGACACGAGTGGAAAGTCCTTAAGTGCAGCGTGTGGTTCACAGACCCACCTCAGGCATCTTAGAGGCATATCCCACCCCATCTCCATGGCTGCATTTGAACCCCCTGAAATGAAGCTCAAAAACGACACACCGCTGAGGCTGGTCAGGACTGCCCCTTTCATGGGAATGACCTGCAGGGGCTTGTCTCAACACTCTTGTCTCTTGGGTCCTTCCCTACGCCTATGTCAGACTTTATGCAGGTTGCTGTCTATTTCTGTGAAAGGCCCTGAAAGAGACAGAATTCCTTATACTGCTCCAAGTTGCTCTGAAAGTTGGAAATGCAACAATTCTCTTCTCTGCTCTTGATCTTCCAGCAGCTGAGACAACGGAAGTGTTACAAAGCAGCCTACACAGAATTTCAAGAGGATGCAGAGCCAGGAGAATAACTATGGGCCATTTTTTGTTATTTTCCACTAGTTCTATTTTAGAAATGTGGACTCCCAGACAGGCCAGTCTGCACATGCTCTGGGGCACTGAACTCTTACAAGGACTTTTAAACACCTGTCCATATCAGAAATAAAAAGGCACTCTGCACATGCTCACAGACATGGATCCTGAAGAGTCTGAATGCAGAAAAAGAAAGCACAGCTTCTTCAGGCAACCTCAGGCATAAAACGCTTGCAGAGAATTGGATGTTTGAGGCACACTGGAATGGACTTGCCTCCTCCAGGGAGCTTTAGGGTTCCCTTTTATTTGTATAATTGATTTATGTCCCAACTTTTTCGTTCTTTTAAAGAACTCAAAGTGGCTTACATCGTAAAAGCATAAGAAAAGCCCTGCTGGTGTTGGGAAAATTTGGATAAATCCTGGCAGAAAATGTTGCTTATGTGTGCTTCTGTGTTATAAAATCAAACCTGCATTCCTTCTCAAAAGCATTGGCTTTCCAAGTCTAGTCACTGTTCAATATTACTGTAGCTTTAAGAAAATGGCTCTAGTTCTTCTTGCAGTAAGCCAGAGCAGACAGGCCATTCAGTTGAATATCTATTATATACATTCACAACATAGCTAAATAACCCCTGTAGGAATTCAGTTTACCAGGATGTATCTATTTTGCTGGCCCAGAGCGCTCCATGAGCCCTGGCCAGTCAGAAAGGTGCGGATGGGTCACTCAGGATCTCGGCCTTCCTGATAATGGAATGAAACACATGGGCTTATGATTTCAGGGACGATTTCTCAATAGCCTGACTTTACATGTCTAAGCAGACCCAGAGATGGGTTCAAGTTTCTGGATTCTACTGAACTGAAATGTCAATACACTGCAATTAGAAATGCTGTAATCTCATTGTCACTGTATGATTGGCTGATCTTCCTTTATCTGTTCTGTATATGATGACCTCAGAATTTCATTGTAATGTCTGCATTCTGTCATCAATTGCCCTGTAGCCTGTGTACGTGACCAGGAGCGTATAAAATATCCTGTACTTGTATTGAAACCTCGCAGTCGAGTCCACCTCTGCCTGCCCGGTAATGCATTATTGTGAGTTCTACCAAAGGAACCTGGGGTAAACAATAAAGCAGCAGATGGTCTTAATGCTTGACCTTTCCCACAAACCCGAGTTTTATTTCCTCCTCACAAATTGAAATTCCGGGATTCGGTCACTGGATCAGAGCAAGGGTTTTCTAGTCCAGTACTCAATATGAACGATGGCAAACCAGCTGCCTGCAGGATCCCTCCAGCTGGATGGTGCAACACCTCCATTTGCCCCCTGACACACCTGTCCTCAGCAGAGCCTCCTTCCCATAGTGCAGGAACCTCTGCAGCCACTCAACACACTCCTCCTCCAGGTAGGCCTCCATGTACCGGTTGTGCCTTGAGTCTGCATCCCACTTCCTCTTGCTGCTTTGGGCCGTGGCATCCGTGGCCGTCCAGGTGAGGGTCTCCTGGTCAAAGGTGAGGTAGTCCTTCCCGTAGTAGCCATTCTGCCAAAACTCTCCTTTCCTCCCGTCCCTGCTCAGCTCACAGCCATACATCTCCTGTCAGATGTGAAGCCCTGAAAGATGTGTGCAGGAGCTCAGCAGAGGGTGGGGGATGTGGGGATGATGGGTCACCATTCCCTCCCCCTATATCTCCCCTGTGTGGGAAAGCAAAACAAAAAAGTGTACTTCATGCCCCAAGTGAGCCTCCTCATTCGCCTAAGTACCCCTTCCCAGCTCGATGGACACTCCTCACTGCTTTGGGGTATTCTTGTCCCTCCCCTGTGCCAACATAATGACCTTTATGGAGGACAGAGGGGGCAGGGATGGGAAGTGAGGATGCCTGCAATGGTCAATAAGCTGCATGGGATGCTAATAAGCTCCTCATTGATTCCTCCCTACTTAAGGTACAAAACCCCGAAGATGTCCATCCAAATTGCTGCCACGTCACACTGGAGGAACGGAGACTGGGGGAACCCAGACCGAGGTCAAAATGGAGGCTGGAATTGGGCTCACAGGCAGCAGGGACAATTCCATGGCAGCAGCCACTGGCAAAGAATGTTGGAGGAGGCCCACATCCATCCACGCAGAATGAAGAAATCTACGCCCGAGCACACCTGAGCTTCCTCTTGGGCTGTCTTTTGGCTGGACATTAAATGCAGCTCTAAATCCACGCAGTTGCTATCAGAAAGGGAGCTTTGATCACTTCCTCCAGAGTTTGTGTCAAATGCAATACTCCTGTGCACACCAGTTGTTGGGGAGCATGGGTGTGGGGGCTGCCACACTCCCTTCCTGCATCCAGATTCCTTGGGCAGTGGGTGCTTGCTCTGAGAGCAGAAGGCTGAGCTGGGTGGCCCTGTGGCCTGATCCTGCACCAGCGCTCTTCGCCGTACTGATGACAGAGCCCGGCACCCTTGTGCAGGACAGAAATGGCCTCTCTGATTCTGCCTTCCAGCCTTCCTGCTCCCGATAGTCTCTCTGGGGTGTGCGTGCAAGTGGAGAATTGTCACCCCACTTCTCTCAAGCACCCCCTTCTGGAGTGGTTAAGCTGACGGGGGAGTGGGAAGAGCGGAATCTTGCCAGGGACCCCCATTTCCCCCTCCCAGTACCCCCTTCTTCCCAACTCCCACCTGCACCCCACACTCACCACCACCATGCTCATAGTGGGAGTTCGCGGCCTGCAGGCTCTTTCTGAAAAACACTTCATTGTCCCTCGCTACCACAGTCTCTTTCTCCCACGTATGTAGGATAATTCTCTGTGACCTTCTGCATCCAGGGCACCAGAGGCTCCTGCCTCCGTGTGTTGCTGTTGTAGCAAGTGATGGGCTGGTCATCCAGGAAGACCACAACGAAGAACCCAGACTCAGACACCATGGTGTAAAGATAGTGCAGGCTGTGGGATGAAGACCCTGGAAAAGGCACAGAGATGGGGCAGACTTAGAGTTTCTATTTCAACCCCACCCCCTTAGCCACAATGGGTCTCAGGGCAGGATACAAAGCATGTTATAAAACAACAAATAAATGATACTTACTTAAGAAACAAGCATCCTGAGAACATCTACAATAAATCATCTCAATGACCTCCCTATAACCTGATTTCTTAACCACTAAAAACACCATAAATGGTGCAATAGGATAAAAAATAAACAATCACTATAAAATTGATAAAATTGTCTTTAGAGATCTTTTACCAATTAAAATATCAAGTTAATAAAAATATGTTCACCTAGTGCTGAAAAGACAAAAGAGATAGCTCCAGGCAAACCTCCTTGGGTAACTGATTCCAAAGTTGGGGTGCCACTGCTGAGAAGGCCCTTCTCCTTGTTACCCCCTTCCTTGTCTCCTTCAAAGGGCCTCCTTAAGAAGGACTCTGAAGAGGACCTGAACAGCCCAGGAAGGCACATATAGAAGGAGGCATGCCTTTAAATGTCCTGGCCTCAAGCAGTTGAGGACTTTATATATCAATGTCACCACTTTGGATTGGGCCTGGATTTCAGTGGTGTAACGAAGGGGTTGTCAACGTTTTTACAGCTGGGGACTGGAAAAAATAGGAAAATTATTACAGGGACTGCTGAGGCAGAAATAAAATTAAAAGCATCACCTATAAAATATAGCAGTTTGTGTATTACTTTTTAAATATAATACCAAAAAATGAAAAATACTCTAAAATAACCAGAATCCCAGCAGTAAAAATCCTAATAAAAATAAAATAGTGAAATTAAATGTAATCAAATACAACTGAAATTTTTAGAGAGCAATATTTAATTGGAATAAGCATAGCACAAAATCTGCTCTCACTTCTTTTCGAGAATATGTGATCACAGATTTACAATAGCAAAATACAAAACCAATATAAATGCAATTCTATACCCACAGAAAATGCAAATTCAAACACAATATTAACAACGGAGAAGTCCAAAATCAACCAAAGTAATTACAACCATATTCATAATGTTAAATCATGATATTTAACACCCTTCTCAAAGTGCCATACACACCAGCACAGACTGGCTGAGAAAAAACAACCCTGCAGAACGCACTTCCCTCCCCAGCAGAACACACGGCAGAGAAGGACCTGGTCTCAGACCCTGCCCAAAGGGTGGACCAGCATGGCTCCCAGCTGGCACCCCTTAAGCTGCCTCTCCCCTCCCCAACCTCCTTGGCAGAGGAAGAGGGGGAGAATTGGCAGCAAGAGCATAGCCAGCCCCCACGCGGCTCCATAGCGAGTGCAATGCAGCTGTTGTGCGTGAGCAGGAAGGGCCAGTGACAGTCCACAGACCACCAGCTGACAACCACTGGTCTAATGGAATGTTGGCTGAGATGTCTCCAATGTGCATTGACACCCAGCTCCTTCGGCCGCTGCTTTCCTCCAAGACAGGTGAGGCCGTGACAGGGCTGAAGCAGCACCTGGGCCCTGGAAGAGGCTGCACAAAGGCCAAACCACGGGGCCCAACCCGGATGGTGCACCACCAGTGGATGGGGTGTCTGGCCCACTGTGAGGGGGTCACTCCCCCTCCTCAAGAATTGCATTTGTGGTTTAGGGGTGCTCCTGGGTCCAGCAGCGAGAGAGCCCGGAGGCACAGACAGACCAAGTAGCATGGGACTCCTTTGCCCAGTCGCCTGGGGAGCAGACAAAGAACATCCCTATCGGGGCAGAGCCAGCCTAGCTGCAGGGATCCATACTCAGGTAATCTCTCACTAGATTCTAGATGTTTCTGCAGAAGTATTTGAATACTGTAATACAGAAGCTTCAGCTACAAGGCTGCTAGTGAAAGTGGCTAACATGTTTGAACTGCACCCGTATTTTTTCACCTGCCAGCCCTTTTCTGATGCCAAGTCAAAGCTGAAAGGGTTGGTATTACCTGGTTTGGTGCCAGGTTACCTGAGGCATCACCCCTTCCCACAGATATCTGCTGAGAATGGAAACATGCTAAAATTGTGCTCAGCAGACTTCCTGCACAGGCCTGGCCTAAGAAGTGAGGTGAGTGGCTGCTGAGAGGGTGGTTTCACTCTCCAGAGTAAAACTTAGTTTTGTGGCATCTGCAAATACAGGAAGCAGAAACACCGGAAATTAGCCAAAAGGGTTCTTTGGACGGATTCCTTTCTGTTTGTACGTTGGGGGCAGAAAACATGCATGGAGTACTACAGAACCAAACAAAAACATGACAGCCAGGGGACGGGGGTCCAGAACGATTCAAGAAAAAAACAAAAACAATAGTTTTTTCTCCATTTTGCCTTGAATGCTTTTTATTTTTATTTTGTATTTTTTTGCTTTTTTCTGAAGCACTGAAACATTTTGAATATGAAAGGAGGCAGAGACCCCCTTTTTTCCACAGTTAATTTCTTAAAAATGGTCAGATCTTTGTCTGCTTGACACATAAGGAGAGGTCAGTTTCTTGCAAGGGCAAATAGGTTTATTTACAATTCAATGCATGGATCCATGGGTGCCCAAGACAGGAACACCCAATGCTAATTCCATTAGGGTTATATAGAATACACAAAAGGGGAGTGAATACAATACACAGGAAAGTGATTGGATGCTTTGATATGGATAGGAAAGTGATTGGATACAGTCACAGCACCATAAAGAAAAGTTACATTTCACTCTAATTAGATGCCTTTGACAGGCCTTCTAAACTAAAGTTGCCTTGAACAGGCTGGCCAAGTTAAGTAAACAAAAAGGTTACATGTGTGAACTTACAGGATTAGGAGGGGCACTTTAGTAAGTCTATAAAACACAGAGATTACACTTTGACAGTTACCCACTAATGGAGTGGGGTCATCTGGTCTTCACCACCAGACACGAGGCATCTCTTGATGTGTTTATGGCAGGGCAGTGAGGTGGGATGGTAGCACTTGTTTTTCTGAGTACAGAAGTAGGAATACATAGGTTGGTTGTCAGTTTTGTTTTCAACATTAACTTGTGGCCTGTTTCCTATAGACTGGGCCAAACTTAAGGGGTGCCAGATTCCTGGAGTTCAGCAGCCTGTAGCTGCATTTTTAACAAAAGTTTGCAGAATTTAAAAATGATCAGGATGCAGTCCTACAGCCCAAAGTCACCCAGTTGCCTCCACAGCTGAGTGGGGAATGGAGCCTAGACCTCCTGAGCACCAGTCCAAGACTCTAACCACAATGCTATATTGTGGGGCTGAATCAGAGGGATGCCCAAAAGGGCTTATTTGACATGCCTTTCATGGGTGGCATGAAGCACAGAGAGTTGTGCTTCTTTTTTACCCCCAACCCAGTTTTCCCCCTGGCAACATGCAGCTGGTGTGTTCCCAGAGCCTTGTCTTGCAGACAAGGGAGCGCAAGATTTGCTCATGTGACTCCAGACAGCTAAATTGGGGACTGAAGCTGAAGCCCCCTTTCTTTCAAGGGGGGACAAAACAGGGAAGGAAAGATCCTTTTCCTCAGAATGGGGTGGGCCCGGGAAAGGGAATCAGGCCTAAGAAAGTCCCAAAAGCATCCTGGAGTTGGAATATTAAAGAATTAATGACAAATTTAGTAACAGCTGCAAGATTAATCAAAGAATTGAAAAGTGCAAATTGATTATCAATTGAGTGACTGCTGTAGAGAAGTTTGGAATATAGGTATTAATGACAAATTGACTTGTGAGATTAAAGTGAAAAGGGTATATTAAAAAGCATAATTTTGATGGTACTTGGGGTCCATTTATTATGTGTTTTATAAAAGGGAAATGATTTGAACCTTCATAAGAATTATTGCAAATCTGGAAAGGGGACAGAGCTTTTTGAAATAGTTTGTGAAAGATTTTTTAAATCATACATCCAACGGTCCTGGTGGTGGGACGCAGGGGTTTTTGTTGTTGTTGTTGTTCTATCTTAATAGTATGTTTAATGTTGTTTGCTTTTACTTTAATGTATGTGTTTAATTGCATTCTATATTTTTAAAATTAATAAAAAGAAAACGTAGAAACAGAATGCATAAGGGTGCTGCCTTCATTTTCAGTTCAGGAAAGGAAGGATGAGAGGACCGAAATACCAAACATCCCATTCAGAGCAAGAATATTAGCTTATGAGCGCATTAAGCAATCCCACGCCCTCGCTGCCTTCTTCACACTTAGGGGGAGACGGTTAAGATTGCAATTCAGGCAGGAGGAGGCCTTTTAATGCATATATCGGCGCGTGGGTCTCCGGAAAACATCACAACGCGGCCGACTGTAGAACAGCCTTTGCAGCCAAAAAGGACCGATGGCTCTTCTCACCTCCCGCTGCCCTTGCTCCGCCCACTCAGACAAGGCAGCCAATCAGACAGCTACCCCCTCCCGCTAGCTACGAAGAAGATGCTCCCCGATAAGCAAACGCCCCTTCGCACCCGCCGCATCCGTGACTTGTTTTGCGTGCTCCACCGCTGCGAAGCTGCCGGAAAGAATCGGAGCTGAGTAGCAAGAGCGAGGGACCGGGTTCCGTCGCTTCGGGTTTGGAAGCCCAGTTCTGGCTGCTCAGAGGCGCCCGGGCTCTGCAAACGCCGCTTCAGAAAGCCATGTTCTCAGATTGCGCGCATGCCCGGGCCCTGCCTTCTTGCAAGGGACCCGGGAATCCTGGGGAGCGCCTCCGCCTCATCCTCTCCGCCTCGCAACGGCCTCTGCGACAGGTTGGGCTGCGCGGCACTGACTGCCCCACGCACTCCGCGAGTGCCCCGGCCGAGATCCCGAAACCTCCGCCGAGGGCGGTCGGAGCTGCCCGGCGTCCCTTCAGGGCGGGCCGGCCCCAAGCTCCGAGCGCCAGCGCCTCCGTGCGGGGCGAGGGTGACGCGCGCTTTCCCCGGCGTTGGGGCATGCATGCGGCGGGCGCTGCCCGGTGGGAGCGCAGGCAGGGAAAGGCGCGTCCGTCAAGGGCTCGGGCTCTGCCTGGGAGCGGGGTCGGCGCCCCTCCCGCTCCGCATTTTAGGGGAAACTGGGGGCCAACGTCTCTCCTTTGCACTGACAAAGATTGAACCCCGGAGGGACTCACCGGCAGGGTCTCCCAGCAGGAGGGCAACAACCCGCAGCAGCAAAAGGATCCCCATTTCGGTCTGAGAGCGGCTGCCCGCCTTGATCCAGCTAGTCTGACTACTCCGGATACTGACACTTGTCCTCCCACTCCGCAGTAACCGTGCCGAGAGCGGGGATTGGCCGAGGGGAAAGTATCCAGCCAATAAGAAGGAGAAGTTTCCATTTCCATCGTGGTTCCTTGGAGGATCACGAGGCGGAGATTTTGCAGTAAAAGGGCGGTCTGCTCGGACGTTGCTACCGGAATGCGAGTCTATCAGGTGTTTTTTTCGAGAATGAGGGAGGAGGTGGAGCTGGGAGGTCGAACATACACGGTTAATGCGCATCCTGATGATGCCAACTTTCTGGAGCAGTCCTGGACATAAGAACCAAAGGGGGGTGGTGCTGTACCGGACCAGGTCCACCCCGCCCAGCCTCTGTTCCCGCAGCGGCCAACCAGCTCCCAAAGAAAGTCTGCCAGCAGGACTTGAGGGCAATTGCACCCCCCTGCCTGTGCTCCCGGGCACAGACAGATGGCCTCTGAAAACCAGAGAGAGCACGTGGCCATGAGGACTAGTAGCCTTGAGTGGCCTTTTCCTCCATGGATTTGCCCAATCGGCCTTTCGAGCCACCCACATTAGCGGCTATCCATCCCAATACCTTGTGGTGGTGAGTTCCACAGGAAAATCTGTGCTGCCTGAAGAAACCCTTCCTTTCTTCCCTGCTGCTGGAGAGAAGGTGAGCAGGGTGTCAAGCAGTCCTATTGGGGAAGAGGGGATTGCCTGGTGGGATTCAGGTCATGCTGGGTGTCTAGCACTTAAGGCTTTGGAGAACCACAGGCAGGCCACTGGTTGGGTGTAGGTGGAAGATGCAGCGGCCTCCACTGCTCAAGAAGGGAAAACCCTGCAGCAGTTTCAAAAGCTGTAATCAGAATGGAGGGGCAGGATGAGACACTGAAGTCTGTTTACAGAGATCAGGAAAGGGCCAATGAGCTGCAAGTTTCCAGCCAAAAACCAGAAGTGTGTAAAAGCCACTGCCTTGCTCAGCATGTTTATAGTACATGTGCGTGATCATAAAATCCAGGTAAGCTTTGCTTTCCTTGTTGGGAGGCCAACAGCCCTCTCTCCTTGGCACATGGGCTGTTCTGAATGAGGCTTACTGGCCTTTTTATGGAAATTGTTCCCAGGTCCCATTTCCTCTTTGTCAGTTGGCATAGTCAACGAAATGTTCCACATCCTCCCCTGGTTCTTTGCTGAGCCCTAGCTGGATGTCACAGGGGCTGAGATAGGGCAGGGTTCATCTCCTGGGAGCATCCCAAATTCTGGTCAGGATGGGTTGGAGCAGGCACCTCCAGCTGCGCTCGCCATCCAAGGGCAGCCCAGTTGGTGCAATGACCTCTGTACATGGACTGCCATCTGTAGATACCTGGTATAAATGCGCTCTTCCACAGCTGAGCTTCAGGTTTGCCATTGAGTAGGGGGCAGGTTTTAAGGAAGATGCACCCCAACAAGAGAACAGGTGGCACCTCTGGGAAGGGGAAGCCAAAACACTTTGGCAAATTTCCAAGCAGCTATTTTACAGGAAAAACAGTTCAGGGAAAAAAAAACTTAAAACATCTGGCAGAGGCTTGTAAAGAGGCCTGCACACCTGCATCTCTGTGGAAGAGTCAGGGTGGCCCAGTGGTTGAGAGTGCCAGATGGGAATCAGGAGAGCTGGGTTTTAGTCCACTTTTTGATTTTTAATTCTATTAATAACAATAATCAACTAGGACAAAGTAATGCAAATGTAAAATGCATCATAAAAATAGAGGGGAAAAAACAACACAAGATACAAAAAAGCTATATATACAAAACTAGTGAACCCCTCCACCAGGAGCATGGCTGCACACTATTTATTCCTTCATTTCTGTCTTCCCCTTTGCTTCTAGCCCTGACTTTGCACTGTTTCAGGAATGCCCCCTTCCATCCAGAATTGCACTGAATCAGCCAAAGGTTTGATAGCCTTCCCTCTTATTAGTACATACTCAAGAAACAAACCCCATGTATCAGTAATATCATTTTCTCTCAGTCCATTTTAAACCTTAATTCCACATGTAAACAGCTGTGTTCCAAACTTCTTTATACTTTTCAGTTAACTGAAGACTGCATTTCTCCTTCCAATTCTTTCCCCTTATCAGTTTTCCTGCTTTTACCACATTTCTTATTAATTCTTTTATATTCCATTAATTTTCCAAAAATATGCTCCCCACGGAGGTTCGCTTGGCACCATCGCTTTATTCTTTTCAGCGTCAGGCAGACCTTTTTAACTTCCCATTATTTTAGCAGTTAATTGATTTTATCATTATTTATCGGATGCAATGTGCTGTGTGTTGCTGTTGTGTATTAATTAATTAATTAATTAATTACAATATTTATATCCCATCCTTTACAAAATGTTCCATGATGGCTTATTAACTATAAATATTCAAACAATAAATAGTTTTAACAAAATACAACATAATAAGCTTAGCAAAACATAGCTGAGCATATGATGTTAAACCCAAATTAAAATATTAAAACATTAAAATATTGGGCAAATAAAAAGGTTTTAATTGTTTATTTATTTATATGTGTTTATTTTATTTATACTTATATGATTGTTTTGTTTTTGCTTTTAGTAAGCCATCCAGAGACTTAAGTATTGGGAGGCAAATAAAAATGTTAAATAAATAAATAAAATATTAAGTGCAATAGTATTTCTTGGTTCTAGTCCCAGAAAGATCTGCAAGATTCACAGCCCCATTACTGCCCAGCCTTCCTCATGGTCCAACTGTTTCAGCTGTAACTAGGAAAACCATAGCCTTGACTGTATGAACTTTCGTTGGCAGAGTGATGTCTCTGCTTTTTAGCATGGTGTCTAGGTTTGCCTTTGCTCTCCTCCCAAGGAGGAAGTGTCTTTTAATTTCTTGGCTGCAGTGACCATCTGCGGTGATCTTGGAGTCCAAGTAAATAAAATCTGTCCCTACCTCCATTTCATCCCCATCCATTTGCCCAGGAAGTGATAGGACTGGGTTCCATGATCATAGCTTTCTTAATGTTGAGTTTCAAGCCAACTCTTGTGCTCTCCTCATTCACCCACCTCAAAAGGCTCTTTAGTTCCTCTTCACTTTCTGCCATTGGAGTGGTATCATCTGCATATCTGAGGTTGTTGATATTTCTCCCAGCAATCTTAATTCCAACTGGTGATTCATTTAGATGCCAGGAAGCACTTCCTGACAGTTAGGACCCCGAGGGTGTGGAATGGGCTTCCACGAGAGGTCATTGAGGCCCCATCTGTACGGGTGTACAAAGATAGGCTGGACGGTAATGGCAGAAAGATTAAGAAAACATATAGAAAAACAGATCCAAACAGACAAAACTGTATTTGTGCTTAAAAGAAATATGAAAGGCCATATAAGTTTTGTGACTGATGCAACTTAATGGGTGAAGAAGAATAGGAAAGAGTCTGCCTTTCTTTTTTTAGATGCAAAGAAAGCCTTTGCTAACATGGCTCAGTTCACAACGGGCAGCTCTCCTCCCCCCGCCACACAGTAACCAGGGGCCATTGCAGCTGGGGGGCACTCCGGCTGACCCCCTGGCTGCTCTGCCTGACCGGAGGGGCACAGGTGGATTGGGCAAACCTCTCTGGCAAGATCGGCAGCAGCACCGGCGGCTCCCCAAGCTTTGTGAGGGCTTCTCTGGGCACCCCGTGGGCAGGGCAGCTTCTGGGCACCAGTCAATGCACTGTGCAAACCCCTGATGGTGCTCCCCTGCTAGGCCACCTCCCCACTGGAGCCTTGGCAAAGGGGGGGCTCCTGTTCACCAACCGGACACGTGCCTCAAGGCAGGCTTCCCGCAGAGGATTTTTCCCTGCAGCTACGAAGGCGACGTGGGGCAATTTCAGGAAACACCCAGAAAGGCATCCTCAGTCTTGGCCCCAAGAAAAAACTCACACAAGGAAGCTTACAAATATAAACAATATATATTAGTTATTATTAATATATAGTACCTTTGCATATAAGTTAGATTATGAATGAACGTTATATACACATAATACATAGAATATAAATTAAGAGACGAGAAGAGTGAAGGCTGCTTTGAAAAAAGGCCTCCCGCACCAGGACTTCCACAGCCAAATAGTGCTTTTTTGGGCAGGGTGGGGCGAAAGCAGCAGGAGGGACAGTGTGGGGCTTAATGCAGGGGGTATTTTCCACCATAAAATGCTTTTTATGCTGGACTTCCTTCTGGCTTCCCCAGCCCCTCAGCACCGGGGGTCCTGTCAATCATCACAAAGCAGGATTATGTTTGCTGTGCACCAGAGGAGGGACTGGAGTCCACAGAGCTGATGGCAGTGTGAAGGTTTAGGGACTCATGAGGAGGCAGAGGGGCTCGCCCCGTTTCCTGGGATGTTTAATGGAGCAGTGCTGAAGACTGGAGGGCATAGGTAGGCATCTGCTTGGGCAGAACAACATGTGGGCTGTGGGAGATGCAGGTGAGTGGTGGCTGTGCAGCATTGCTGGCCGGGGAAGGAGTAGCAGGGTTGAAAGAAGGAGATAAAGGAAACAGAGGAAGGGAAAAGGGAGGGGGAGAGCAGGACCAAGGAAGAAATGTGCTCCTCTTGGGTGAATCTGACCAGGGTTGAAGGCAAACAGGAACTCTTCGAATGGGAAACCCACAGCATGACTTTGGTGGGCTCTTCTGGTCTTAACATGCTCACAGAAATGCTGCAGGAGAAACAAAAAAGAGGGTGGAGTTAAATCAACACGATGGATCTCTCAGCGTGGGGGCACCAAAATTCTTCTGGTCCAAGCCATGGAGGAGGCCGTTGGCCATGGCATATCACACAAAACATGTGCTGGAGGGGAAGAGCAGGAGCACCCCCAGAGCACGCCTGTGGCAGATGGCCCGAGCAAGTGAGCCAAGTTGCACACTCTATGAAGGCAACAGATGTGGAGGGGGAAATCCCATCCTGTCCCCAAAATAGGACTCCCATACTGGCCCCATGCAAAACTGGTCCTTCA